TGGAATTAATACATGTTTGGTGGATTAAGATTCTGAAAAACTGCAGGATGGAATGAATACATGTTTGGTGGATTTAGATTTAAAAAAACTGCAGGATGGAATGAATACATGTTTGGTGGTTTAAGATTCTGAAAAACTGCAGGATGGAATGAATACATGTTTGGTGGATTAGGATTCTGAAAAACTGCAGGATGAAATGAATACATGTTTTGTGGATTAAGATTCTGAAAAACTGCAGGATGAAATGAATACATGTTTGGTGGATTAAGATTCTGAAAAACTGCAGGATGGAATGAATACATGTTTGGTGGATTAAGATTCTGACAGAGATCTTGATTAGTAAATGAGCCCTCCTCTGACTCAAGAAGACAGGTGTGACTCAAAGTCAGTATTTTATTAGAAAATAAGGAACCTTATTAATGTGTGTAATATGCCATCCACCCACACACCGTAGGCTAATGAGGCAAATGTATATCAGAAAATTTAGAGAATATGTGATTCTCATGGGTGTGCCAAGAATAGGGCATTTATTCCTAGTTCCTTGAGTGATTTATGTCAAAAGACCGAAGCAGGGCTGTCATAGTTGGGTACTTTCAGACAAATTTAATACTATTTAACCACTGCCTGATATTATGATATATTCTAGAAATTGTCCATAAACAAAAATAAAATGTGATTCAGAGTGTACAAGCGCAATGCAATTGTTGATGCAAATGTACCATTTGACGTGACTGGCCAAGTGTGCTTTTGTGTCAGTTTCAAAAGTCTGTCTAGACATGTGGCAGATGATTCTCTATTCTTGTCTTTTGCCATAATCATAAACATCCCAGTTTATTTGATGCTAAAGCTTCCCTTATTCATTTTTATTTCAAAGTATTTTTTGACATTTTTGTAATAAATCCAGACTTATATATATATATATGAGTGGTGTGTGATTGTTCAAATTAACAAATGTATCTTTTGGTTTGTTTTGGTACCTTCTGCCACACTAACTTTGGTAACCCCCCACCCACACAAAAATTGGACTGCCCTGCTAATGAGGTATGTATGAATACAGTAAAGATGAGCCTGTCATCATCATGTAGCAGGTCCTTTGCAGAACGTCGCTCTCATCCCAGTCTGCCTGAAAGAAACTCGGTCTCTCGCCAGTTCTCCCGCCTCATGTACTTTCACACTCAAGTAGATTTATATCCTGAGCCCATCTTCGTGTCGGTCGGCCCCTGCTTCCTGGTACCATGCCTTCTGTTATAATTTTTTTCCATCCGTCGTGGCGCTTGACCAAAATATTTCAGCTTCCGAGATAGGATACTGTTTATTAGCCAATCTTCCTTCATGTTCAGATCTTTTAAGATATTAATATTTCTCCTCTTCTTTGTCCAAGATATTCTGAGAATCTTTCTATAGCATTTCAGCTCAAAAGCCCCTATTCTCTTTCTTAAGGACTGAGATAGTCCACGACTCACATCCGTATGTAGTCACAGGGACGATGCATGCTCTCAAAATTCTAATTTTTATGTCCTTGCTGGTGCTTAACCTTAGACTTTTAAGGCTGTTCAATCTTTGCATTGCTATGGCCATCCTACTTTTTAGCTTGGAAATAGAGCGGCAGTTTACATACCCAAATGATTACATACACAGCTCAGTGATCCTTCTAGGGTGTTGAGACCAATCAAGAGGAAAGAATCCGCTTCTTCCATAGAACGTCATCTACTTAATTCCAGACAAATAATTGACACAGACAGTGCTTTCTGAACAGGAGACTTTTGAGAATCGCCGAAGCATTAACAATAAAAACCAACAACCCCTTCCTTTGTAAGCAGACTGAATTTATCGTTTATTTGAAGTTGCCCTGGTAGTCACGTGACTGTGGTGACCATGAAACAGACACAATGTTTTGGAAAAAACTTTTCGCATTTCAGTTGAATTTATTCAGTTTTATGCTTTATTTTATGTTGATGTAACTCTGTAGTAATGCACCTGATGAGATACAGCGAAATATGCCTGGCAATAAATTGTGCAATGTATTGTTTGTATCTGCATTATTTAAATTCATTACAGGAAAAAATTGTTTTGGACATTATTTTCGTTTTCTTGAAATTTCAAGAACAGATTTTGATCTTCAGTATGCTTTTGGACAGACAATATTAAATTTTCTATTCCCTTTAGGCTGTTCGAAAGGAGGACTGTGTTATCTGTGTAGCAGAGTTCCGGAATAGGATTGCCACCAATTTTGTGCGGATCACAACTGTCACAAGTCTGGTCATTTTTGATATTTCTCATTACATTTTCTGCATATATATTGAAAAGGTATGGTGAGAGAATGCACCCCTCTATTGCACCTCGAACCAATAAAATGTTTCACGAGCTGCTCTGATGGCTGATTGTTCATGATAAAGATTTTCAATTAAATGCACTGGAAACCCCATACTTTTTTATAATAGTCCACAGTTTGTGGTGTTGGACAATCAAATGCCTTGCTATAATCAATAAAACAAGCATGAAGATCTACGTTGCATTCTTTGCATTTTTCAAAAATGTACAAGCCAAAAAAACTTTGTTCAGCTTGTCAAAATTCTTTATAATAAAGTTTGCTGAAGTAGACACACACACACACACTAAAGAGATTCTTGCATAATTTTAAAATGGACATCTCTGTATCATGTACCTGGCGGACTTAGTGCAAACTATGGTGTACATGATTTTTTTTAAATCTTAACCAAATCTTTCTGAGATTAAGGGTCAACAGATATGGTGGGTATAAAATGCAGACAGTGGGTAAAGGCCTTACAAAATCCTGAGGTAGGCTTGTTTGCCACAATTTATGGCAGGCTTTATTATTTACATCACATGTCAAAACAGTCAACCAAGATCACTAAATAAATAGTTAATATTGACCTTTGATCACATACTTACAGCACTTGATAATTTGAAACCAGTAAAAATGCAGTTACATTAATTTATGTTACAGTATCACATTAATTTGCATTTCAGCTGACAGTGAAAATGAAATTGTACATTATCTGTAAAATATAAATAATACAGTAAATTTATCAAAAAATATATGCATTCCTAAGACACACATATATTTCCCTGAGCATGCAAGGTTAAAAAAAAAAGTAAAAATAACAGGCTACCCTGAACACAGGATTAGTTTATTTTCACATTATGAAAACATTGACAAAAGTGATAGAGAAATGCTAAAGAATGTTTGTTTAGGTTCACCAGCTGTAAACTCCAGCAGAAAGAGCTGTTTTTTGCAAGCGTGCACATTTTACAAATCCGACTTTTCTGCTTGCATATTGTTGGTTCCTTGCCTCTCAGATGCACTCCGACTTTTAAGGAAACATCTGTCACGTCCTTCGACATGCCGTGGGGTTATACCCCCCCCCCCACCACCAAAAGAGGGTACAAGGGAGTACCAGATCCCACACAGAGATGCAATAGAATAAATGACAACCCCCAAATGGAAAGACTAGTATATGTTGACATACAGATTTAAGTTGAGTATGTACATCACAGTAGCCAATCTGAGTTCCAATTCCAATGATACCAGCAGAAGTCTGATTGTATGTCTCTCTTGCCTTTCCTTTGAGTGTTTTGTATGTGACCATGACATAACGAAGCATCTAAAAATGAACCCTAACACAGCTGATCAATCAATCAGCCTGTCCCTTAGAACAGTGCTTTCTTTATGGTACGCCTGAAAAGTATCTCCCTAGCCGATTCTCCAGCTGTGTAAGCTTTCATAGCAAATGTATCTTCAATGTCCCGTGTCCACCTTCGTGGTGGTCAGCCTCTGCCTCATTTTCTGAAAACTGCACCCTCTATCGCTGTTCTCTCCAGACCACTATAGGGCTTTACTTGTCCAAAATACCCAAGCTTTTGAGAGAGGATGCTTTGTACAACCCAGTTCTTGATGTTCAGGTCAGGCAGGTACACTGTATTCTAAGAATTTTCTGTAGCATTTCAGTTGAAAAGCTTTGACTTTCTTCTTCAAAGACTGAGTGATAGTCCACAAAGCACATCCATAAGCTGCCATGGGAAAGAGATAATCTCCAAATTTTTTACTCTGGCTCACCCAAAAACAATACAAGAAACTGAGTATGTAGACAACAGGTAGGAAGAAACATCCCTGAATGAAATGCATGTGAACAAAATGCCAGCACCTGCTCTTCATGTTTGAACATCTAATACGAAAATACATTAAGAGCAACACTCAACTCTTTCAGTACCAAGCAACTCACCATCCATTACCTTATTGTTAGTTACCTACTCGGTAGCTGCCACAATGTAGCGACTAGACTCTCGCCTGCGGATTTAAAGGTCCTGGTGAAAAAGGACTTCTTTTAACGAATGGCCTTGGTTCCCAAGTCGACCCAGCCTTAAATGGGTTCCAGGTAAAGTCCTGAGATGTAACGGTGGTCGGAGTGATGCTGACCACATCACCCACTGAATGCCAATTGGTCTGTAAGATATAGGTCTAGCCCTATATACCCAAAGGCATTGAAAACAAATCCTTTACTTAATTATTTACATATTCTGAAATCTAAAGCTGTTATATCAACTCATTTTGTCCTATATTGTTATTTAGGTGATAAATTATTAGGTTAGACCAGTGGTCTCCAACCTTTTGTTTCAAGTGGCACCCCCCCCCCCCCCCCCCCCCTCTTCCTATAAAATATGATGAAAAAGAGGAGAGATGTGTTCTTAATCTATAATTAATTGCACATGTTATCATATTAATTAGATTTTTAATGGCAAAAGTACAAAATGCTCATGGAAACAACAACAAAACATCATTGGCTTTTTGTTTTACAAATAGCTTAAAACATATTTTGTTTATGAACTGCCCCCCAAAAAAGTATAATAGATTATTACAAGCACACATGTGTGCATTTTCAAAACAGCTTGGCACTCCCTTGGAACATCCCCACCTACCCATACCTCACAAGCTGGAGACCACTGAGTCAGACAGTTAAATTAACAGTTGCCTGGTACAGTTAGCATTCTCTAAACAAAGCTTGAATCTGCCGGACAACAGTTTTATCCACACTGCAAATGTCAAATGACAGAAACACGTCACTGATATCAAAATCATCTGTTTCCCCAATTATTCTTGTAACCTTCTCTAGGAGTTCACGGTCTGAATGTGTATGAGCTTTTGCAATTTGTTCAGTGACAACAATGAGCTCTCCAATAGATATACCATTTGCTGCCAACATATCCAGTCCATAACAATGCTGAACGTTGTCAGTGTTGGCTGCATCCAAACATTCCGTCTTCTGCTCCACATTTTTTGACTTGGCTTTCTTCTTTGCTTTGCTGTATTTTTTGGCATCATGTTTAGTGGGTTCAGATTCTACTTTCTGTTTTGGTATTTCCTCTGCAGACATGCTCCTGGCTACCATTTTCAAAGTAGTATCTTGAACTTGGGTGGGCTGTTCAGACTGTTTGTTCAAGACTGATTTAAGATCTTCCTGTTGAGTTGTGCTTTCTTCTTCACCTGATTTATTTCTGAATGGAGAGTGAGAGATTGCAGTCACTGCCAGTCTCTCTGAATGAGAGAGATTCTCATGTAGTTGAGGACTTTCTGAAAGTTTTTCTGTGGATTTCTCATGTTTAATCTCTGGAGAGTGGCTCTGCCCTTTCTTTTTTGAATGACGATTCCTCTTATGCTTGCTTTTATGAGAAGCTGCCAAATTTGATTCTTCACCTTCTTTTGATGATTCCTTCTCTGTACTATCTCTTGAAACATGATTCTCTTTTCCAGAACTGCTCTTTGCCTCTTTAGATTTCTCATTTGTGCTTCCAGCAGAACTTCTCTTAAGTTTCTCTTTTTCGACTTTATTTGTAGATTCCACATGTCTCTTACTGCTCTTTTGATGCACATCATTTTCTTTACCCATGTCTTCTTTCACCTTTTTAGGTTCTGAATGTGAAGCTTGAGAAACATCTTTATAGGAGGAATGCTTTTCCTTAGGCAATTTCTCTTTCTCTTTGCTGGAACTTTGACGTTTTTCCTTTGAGGATCTTGTTGTGTCTTTGTCCTTGCTTGGCACATTTTTCTCCCTTTCTTTATGAGATACCTGTGCTGCAACCTTGTTGTCAACTTGAGAAGACGACGTGGAGCTTTTCCCAGAAGAATGAGAGCCTTCTCTTTCCTTTCTGGATTCCAAATTTTCTTTAACAATCTTTTGAGAACCTACATCCTTATCTTTCTTTACAGCATCTTTGTCTTTATGTGAGCTGCTTCTATCCCTTTCTTTCGTCTTGTCTTTGTGCTTGTGAGATTTATGTGAAGTTTCTTTGTCTGGCCTCTCTCTGTGGGAAGAATGTGAGGAGCTGCTTCTATGCTTTGACCTGTCCTTGTGTGATGAAGAAGAATCATGTTTTGGCTTTGATGATAATGAACTCTCCTTCTTTCCAGAAGAGCTCTCCTTCTCTTGTTTAACTGGTGGAGGAGGAGGTCGAGTATCATCATTATCAGAGGACATTGGTGACAGTGATGACAAAGATGTAGCTGGTGATGCAGACTTGAGCTGTCGTTTTGATTTGTTCTTTTTCTCCTGCAAGAGACACGAACCAAGCAAAATGATGCATTTCACATATTATTACAATGAAAATAACAGTATTTACAAGTTAAAAACTGATACCACATAAGATGATAGCTGATCACATGACAGACTCCAAGTACTAAAACCAACAAGAATGAACATGGCCTACACCAAAAACATGTTAGCCTTGAGACAATAAGGTTTAGCCATGTGTGGGTTCCGGGCACTATATAATAGTGGGTGGTGAATTGATACATGACAAGACAGATGTGGTCAGAGCCCTTTGGGAACAAGTAACGAAGTCAAAAGAGAAACTATTTTATTATGGGCTGGAATGAACGATGCACCTAGGTGTGACCAGAGTGTTTAGCTGGCAAACTACGCTAAGAGGAAAGGCAAGACAGACGTGCAACCAGGCTACGACTGGCATCATTAGTATTGGAATTCTATGCTGGCTGCCGAGTATGGGGATGGAGCGCAAATGGGAATGCCCCAAGTGCTGTGATGTCAATTGTTAACTCAACTCCTAACCATAGCTCTTAGTGCAGGGACATTCAAGCTGTACTGTTATCAGGTTTTTTTCAATGTTTGTCCTTTCCAGTGCCCGCCCTGTTTATCACCTCTTGATTTGCTGAAATGTATTTGGTTCTCACTCAAAGCTCTACATATTGATTCTGCCATGCTATCTATTTCCTTTTATTCTGTGCAGGTAGTAGTTTGATGAAAGTTTGTAGTTTATTAGCAACTTCTATTACAATTATCAAGTGTGCTTATTTGAACAGATAATCAGCAGCCAAACCAGAAAATGTCTGGTATGCTATGGAATTTCAGCTGACTTCTTTAATCCTATTTTTTTCCTTGGTCTCTCGTGATGTTCCAACTTAGTCAACTCCTATTCCTTGAACGTCTCTTGGTGTTTCTATTTTCATGTTGTATGCTCTCACTGCTGGGCCCATCCAACATCATTTGGCACAATTACTATACCAAAAAATCATATAAGTTTGACACAGGGTTAGGTTAACACTAAAGTAACAACTGGCCAGAGCAAATTTTACGATCGCTAGGTACTGCATCAAGACTGCCATATTCATATGTTTTTACTTTATTCTTGGGACCAATGTATCGAGAATTGACATTATATTGTACTTGAGGCATTCCAACAAGTGCTCAGTCCCCTTCCTTTGTAGCCAAAAAAGTGTTTCCATGCTGATGGTGCCAGCTACTACAACCTGATTAAAAGTGCATGTCTTTAGCCCTGCATGTTGAAAACTAGATTTCTTACATCACCCAAGGCACAACCGAAGTTTCTGAGGCTGTACAATCGTATCCTGGCGAGGATCTTGAAGTACTTAGGGTAGATTTTTAACTCCTAATTTTGTCTGGGCAGCACTGTTAAGCTACTCTTTTTTCGATTTCCAACTGCCAAAGGATTTTTTTGTTATATGTGAGCACCAATACACACGGGCGTTTAATCTTACTATCCATGTGAACAAATCTCAGCCTTCACCTGGGCTTGAAGCTTGAACCTCCAGCACCCGAGGCGGATGCCATACCTTAAGACCACTCAGCCCGTTGATAAGATATTGCAAATATTATTGTTTGACCCAAAACAAAGTGTTGTCCCTGTGTGGATTCTGAGGTTGAATTTGGGGGAGGGGGGAGCACAGACTCACAGCCCTTCAACTAGCATGTTGCAAACGGTGACTAATCATGGATGTTTTCTTCAAAGTTGGAAAACATCTGCCTGAGGAACCAACAGTGTGTATACAAACAAGCCAAATCTATAAAATAGTTGTGCACATAAAACTCAAGTTCTGAAATAAGACCAAAGCCCAGAAGCAGACAAACAACAAGAATGTTGCACTGCAGTTTACAGCCAGTGAAAAAAGAAAAGAAAAAAGAAAAAAAAATATTTTTCCTGAAAAAAAAAATAGAAATGTTTAAGAATTTACCTTGTCATTCTCTTTATCTTTGGGTACATCTGGTAATGCCTTATACTGTGGCCTTAGCGAAGCAAGAAGATCATTTGACAGATATTCTTCACGTAGTTCAACCTGTATTGGGGAAAAACAAAGCATGTAGAATGCCTATTGTCCAATAATAAAAAGTACTTTATCACATTCATCATGTGCCCTGCCGACTGGCATCTCCATAGCTCTCTTGATATCTTTTCATGCCATTGTTTCAGCTCATCCAGCATCGTCTCTCTTGGTCTGCCTATACCCCTTTTCCACTGATATTTCCAGTTGTCACAATATTGTCCAATGTCTCTCTTCTCATTATGTGGCCAAATAACAGTGTTTGTCTCTTTCTTATTGTTGCATATAGAGATCTTCTCTAATTAGCTTCTTTCAAGCAATCGTTGTTAGTTACTCTGGCCATCCAAGGTATTAGTAACATTCATCTCGGAAACCACATCTCTGTTGCTTCCAAATTCTTCATAATTTGTTCACTGACATCCCAAGATTCACTGCCATACAGCAGAACAGGTTCTATGTAACATTTATTTTTAGCACCCTCTTTCTGACATTAAATGAGAGCTATTTATTGTATAGATATTTTTCATTTTCTAAAATGCAGCTTTCGCTTGACATATTCTGCTTCCAAAAAAAAAAAAAAAAAAATTCTCAACAGTTTTAAAGACATTATTTTAGCAATAAATATTGTCTGATTCAGTCACAGCAAAAAAAAAATTTTTTTCTTCTAAACTAGGATGCTGATGTTCTTTTGAGCTCTGATAAACTCACCGCAGATATCCTCTAGACCGAATGACTACTTCACATGGATGGTTTGTATTGCTTCTCTTACTTGTGATCTCAATATTTTCTGTTCATACTCAGTTGTTCTGATTATATAAGAATGCAATTTTTCATTCTCTTCTGATGGAATATTGAGCAGACGGATGAAATATTCTTGCCACCTCTTTAAGACAGGTTTAGGATCATTTATATCTTTTCCATTTATTATATGTGATTCGACACCATAAACAACCCAGCTTTAAAAGATCAGATTTCCATGGATGGTCCAACATTCAAGACCATCTTGTCATTGTCTGATCATCACCACCATGTACCTTGTCTATGGACATAGTGGCCAAGATTCTCCACATCATGTGATCTTCAGTAGCATGCATCAATGTGTGTGCTTAAACTTTTCCATGCCATGAAAAAAAGATCCAAACTGATGCATGTTGGGGATATGATGCCTCTTCTTTCATCAAATTTACATAAATATCAGGAGGGGGGAGGGGGGCTTTTGTTTTCACTGATGAGAATAGCAGTAAACCCAAATTAAATGTGTATTTCAAAAGACTTACCCCGCCAGCTTTGATAAGCATTGCCTTAAAATCTGGTGTTGGATTTTTAAATTTCAACTTCTCATAGCGAACATGATTTATGGGAGGACAGTCAATAATGTTCAGAAACAGATCGTATGAAAATACGATTTTCCTTGGCGTCTGCTTGTTCTTAAAGTATATCTCAATCGGCATGGTAAATCCTGCATATCCAGATTCTGTTACTCGAAAGGGTGGATCAGTTATGACTGAAATTGAAGAATAGACAAAAACATAATGAATATTTCTCCTCATAGTCTTCAAGCAGAAAAATAATTAGATTTTATTCTTTATATATCTTGGTAAATTTTGTTTCATTTGCTATTGTCCTTCTGGAAAACCTAGTTTTTAACTTTTTAATTCGATGCACTGGCAGGCGGTTTGTCCTAAAAGACCCTGAACCTATCATCCTGGGACTTCTGACCAGATAGCAAAGACAGTCCAACAGGGTCTGTTTTGCATAACCATTTTTTTGCCATCTGCAAAAACAGAAAGCAGGCAATGAAGTACAGATGTACCTCGGAATACAAATGCTTCAAAATTCGTCTAACAACTTGGAATCCTAACAAAATGTTCAAGTAATTTTGAACTTTTGAAAATATGAACTTGAACACTGCCTTGGAAACTAAATGACTGGCATGTGCCAGCTGACAAAGCAAGAGCTTCGGCTCCTTCACCAGAAAGAAGAAATTCCTTCACAGGAGGAAGAGGGGGATGTCGGAAGTACTGGAACTGCTAAAATCCAGATCTTTTGACTCACCATCCTGTAGCAGATTCTTTGCAGAATGTCGCTCTCTTCACGTTCTGCTTGAAAGAAAGTCACTCGCCAGTTCTCCTGCACTTTCATATCCATGGAGTCACGTATATTCTGCGCCCATCTTTGTGTTGGTCGGCCCCTGCATTTTCTTTCTGGTAATATGCCTTCTGGTATTATTTTTCCAATTCACTGTGACGCTTTATATGGCCAAAATATTTTAGCTTCCGGGAGAAAATACTATTTATCAGCCAATTGTCCTTGATGTTCAGATCTTTGACAATACTTCCATGAAAAGTTTCGTAGGATTATATCGTAGCATTTTCAAGGTTTTAGCCTGTCAGACATATTGTGCTTGACCTAATATTTGTATAGACCATTCAGCACTTGATTGGTGAGTGGTAAACATTACTCTGGCCACCTTTACTATCCAGGACATACCTGGCACTCATTTTAGGCTAGGTTGGCCAGAGAACTAAGGTCAATTATGAAACAAATCTGCCTCGGAGCAAATCTGAAACCTTAGACCATATGTGTGTTTCTCCATAACAAAGCTGGCTGCTCTACTGTGTTGTGAATATCAACAAACCTCAAATAAGTTTGCCTTTGTTGGAAATTTGACTGGAAGACCTAGAAAGTTTGTGATGACAGAAAACATTTGCACATAATGTTGTTTTCTTGGAGCTGCACACAAAAAGGGAGCTACAGCAGCATAGTGGCTAGAAGCTCACCTGTTCACCTGAATTTCTGGGGTTTAAATCTGCATCGAAGTGGATATTTTGCTTCACGACTGACCTTGGTTCACAGGTCAACTAATTCTAAAATGGATACCAGGTAATATCATGGAAAGTAAAGGCAGAATATTAACCATTCTACCCAGTGAGTTGATTAGTCTACAAAAGTATTGGTCTAGCACTATATGCCCAATGTGAGGCCTGAAGAGGATCCTCTACCTACAAGAAAGGAGTATATGGACAAAGATGGCTACCAAGCATGGACTATAAATGAGAAGTGACACACTGATCGATACTTATACTGAGTTTATGTCAGGGTAACGAATATTAGAATTAGAGAGAAAGTTGGAATAAAACCATGTCTGGATTATACTAACAGACAAAGAATGAAATGGTTTGGCCACATAGTGAGAATTTAGCCAGACCAAACTGCATGTGAGACTTTTTACAGCAGAACATCTGGGAGGAAGGTGAGGGTAAGACCAAGATATGCTGAAACATGCAAAAAGATTAACAATTCCACCTCCCAAGCCTCCAAAAATGTGCAAAACAAATACAGAAAACCACGACACTGTGTTACAACCTAATATCAGCGGGATGATAAAAGAAGCAAGAAGAAGGATACAGATATTGTGTTTTTTCGGTGTTGACAATATTAATACTTGAGTAGAGAGAAGACTAAAACTAGATAATCAAAAAAGATTATGTGACATTATTGATTACTTGCCACTGTAAGCATTAAATTATGTGACAAGAATTCCTACCTCTGGTTGGGGATCTAAAAGTCTTGTGTAGTTTGAAGATAACTTTCTCCACAAAATATTCCAAGCGACTTCCTTCAAATCCTCGAACAAACACTGTCCAGTCATGTGAAAAACCTTCTGGAGAAGGTTCTGTCCGGAAGTTAGCACGATGGCCCATCTCAATCGTAACTGCAACTACGCAGTCATCTGACTGAGAGCAAGAATAAAGCAGTAGTTAATAAATAAATTATTATTTATTATCATCAAGTGCCTTGGCGACAGGCGTGAGCGATCAGGCCTCTCCACAATCCGCAACTGTGTGTATTTGTTCGTGTGCCTACACCCTTTCCTACCATGATAAAAGGCTGTCAAGAATCTTCTTGCACTGTCTTTCTTTGTCTCTCTTTCCAATGGTCACAACATGTTCTGGTTTCCCTCTTCTCAAAATATGATGACTGTCTCCGATGTTTGTGATAAGTTGTTTTCAAGCATTCATCTTTTTCAAAACATCTGGGTTGCTCTTATTAGCTGTCCAAGGAGTTCTAAGGAGTCTTCTGTAAAACCACATCACTGATGCCTCAAGATACTGTTTGGCTTGTTCATAAATTGTCCAGGATGTTAAAACTGGCTTATAAAGCCTGCAAAAATTCTTTTCCTAACCCCCAATGACATGGTTGTATTGCCCAAAATGCTCATTTTATAAAAAGTAGTTTTAGCCTGCCCTATTCTGTTCTTTATCTCTGTGATATATCTTTCATCGGATGTTATCCATGTGCCTAAATAATTAAATTTCTTGACTTCTTCTTCTTCGCGTTCACCAGCTGTACACGCTGGTGGAAAGCTCTGGTTGTTCGTCCACTTCTGAACTGCAGTCCTGCTCCAGAACCTGAGTGTTGCATGTGCATCAGTTTTACAGATCTGATTCACTTGAATGCAGACTGTTGGTTCCTTGCCTCTCAGGCAGATGAACTCCGACTTCAAAGGAAGCTCCCCAATTAGTCGACTCTTACGACATGCTTTTGGGTAGGCAGTGGGTCTATTCTTGTTTTCCCCACGATGGGGCCCCGGAACCCACACAGGTAATTGACTTGCTCTAAAAAAAAAATTTTTTTTTAATGTTCCTTTGACCTTTATTAACAATTTAGCAAATCACCATTACTTCTGTCTTCCCATTATTCAAACTAAGGCCTATTCTATCACTTTGTACCACCACCATATCAAAGCCTGTAGTTCTTTCTGACTTGTAGCTATTAAGACAGTGTATGACCTGCATAATGCAGGTTGTTTATGTTATGACCACCAACCACAAATTATTAGTAGAACATATAAATATACTTAAATTACTTATAAGGAGACTGTATTCTGACTTCTTTTTTTCACTTGATATAGATTATTTACCTCTGCAATGTTAACTCTAGTATTCTGACTACACATGTATGCAATCCCTTGACAAACCCAGTAGTTGAAATACATCAGCGGTTTCACATTAACCCTTTCTGTTTGTAATACTATTCTAAATAATTATTTATGACAGTCTGAGCATAAATTGACTCCCATCGAGAGAGATACAGGTTAGAACCCTTTGGTAAGGTAATGAAGTTTTCTAAATTCTACAGGGACCAAATTAAAATGTTACCCTGTAGTCTGTGTTAAAAAGTGGAAAATACTGGGCTGTAAAGTAAAGACAGGATGAATCCCTTGTCATGGGACCCTCCCTTTCACCATTTTTTGGGGGACTTAAATTTAGTAATCTTTTGCAGTAATGTTCATATTATTAGTTCACTGACTGCTGGCTCAAAGGAATTTCTAGTCAGCTTGTGTATTGTGGCATCAATTTACTATCCACTGACTGACTGATAGACATAAAATAAACTAGGTAGCCTGATGTGAGAAACAATCACGATACAGGCAAATATTTTTTGTTTTAATCTCAGAGAAAACAATAAGCTACAAGCAAATTTTTTTTTTAAACTGAATGTCTTTATTTCAGAGAAAACAATAAGATACTTTTAACATTTCACAATGGAATGTTTCAATTTCCCAGTGTCAGCTTAATTTTACCTTGCAGGAAGGGGGGAGGGGGCCTTTGTTCTCTAGCACAAGAGAGACTAAGTAATTTAAATTTAAAAAGTCTGCTGAAATCTGATGTGCTGAGCAGAGCTGAAAAGTGCATCACAGCCTAGCGACTGCGATAATAACACAATCATTAGAATGTACACACTGCCATTTTAAGGATGATTTTGGAAGAATGTATTCATGTTATATTCAAATAGAGTCAATTTTTATATTTCTTGATAGTATCTGTGTTTTAATAATTAATCCTAAACTAATATTCTTTTATCACTAGAGTTCTGTTGAAAAATATAATAATCGTTTTGTTAGAGGTAGTTCAGTTCAGCGAGTCATTTTTTCAACAGTAGAGTGGAATAACAGACATTTACTTTAAGTAGAACAAAAATCGTGGTTCTGACCAGTCTGCTAGCCTCAGCCTGGGGAGGGCAGTGAGAAGAATATTACTGTTTTAGTATCAATTACACTTAACATTTTACTTCGTCACCAGCGAGCTGTAAAATCTGGTGGAAAGTTTTAACTGTTTGTCCACTTCTGGACTGCAGTCCTGTTCCAGAACTTGAGTGTTGGGTGTGCATCCGTTTGATAGATCTAACTAATTCGTATGCAGACTGTTTGTTACTTGCCTCTCTGTCAAGGAATGTGTGGGCAGCGGGTCTATTGTCTATTCTTCTTTTCCATATATAACACGGGACCCCGCAACCCACACACGGGGAATTACGCTATACGAATTTTTAAATTTAAAATAATTAAATTTTAAAAATAATTCCTAAAAAATTATAACTGAGCTTACTGTAACAATAGTTATTATTTATAATTTGAATTTGTTCAACCACAACAACGTGGCTCGGTACTTTTAATTTTTTTTATGTTAGTTTCAATAAAATGAAATATAGTAACAAATAGACCTTTCAAGATATATTATATATAACTTACTTCAACTTGTTTCTGGGCCATAGCTTTAACTTCAACTTCCAATGACTTTGACTTAACAAACAAGTCAAAACAAACAGTTGAATTTCCTCTATTTCAAAACACAACCAAGATGTATGTAAACATTGCATTCGAAAATGAACGTTGTTGTCGCTTCCGGAAGTATATTGCCAGATTCGAAGAAAAAGGCTTGCCTGCTTTAATTTTATTTCGAATTTAATCGGTGTAACCAAGTACTTCAACTTCGACTTGAAATCTTCAAGAACTGTCCAATCTTGGGCTTGAAACTTCTTTCGTCTCTAAAAGTTCGGAAACTGGGTTGCTCGAAAACTAAAATCACTTCCCTTATCCGCAAAAATTGAAGATTAATTCGTTTCTTAACTCCTGATGTTTGCTCAAATATTTAAACATTTAGTAATAGTATTTGATTGTTACGGAGTTTGTGTAACAGGCATTCGGGCAGTTGAGCGCGGGGAAAGTTTGACATTTTTCTTCTTCTTCTTTTTCAGCATTCCGATCCCTTGAGGTTTATTGCTGCAGATATCACCAGGCTCCATTTATCTCTCTGATTGGCCCTCTCTTTCCAGTTGGTGACATCAAGTGTTTGTAGGTCTAAAAATTGTACCTATATCTCCATCGTCTTCTTGGTCTGCTTCGTGGTCTACGATCATTCATCTCCCTGGTGTATCCAGTTTTTACTTCTCGGTCATCTGACATTCTTTCAATATGTCCCAACCATATAAGTCTATTAGCTCTCATGATGCCAGTGATCAGTGGTGATTTAAACAAATTATGAATTTCGTTGTTGTTTCTCACTCTCCATTCCCCGCTATTTGCATCTTTGATGGGTCCAAAGATTCGTCGTAAGACTGTTTTCGAAAACCTGTAATAAGGCTTCATCTCTTTTAGTTGTGCTCCAAGTTTCAGAGCCATATAACACAACTGGTCTAACAAACATTTTATATATTTTGATCTCAGTGTTGCTAGACAGACACTTTGACTTTAGCAGATGTTGAAGGGTATAGTATACTTTATTTCAAGATTGTATTCTAGATTGTATTTCTTCTCTCAGCATGTTGGAGCATTTGAAGTTTGCACTCAAGTTCTTACATGTTTCCATTCGTTTGATTTTCATATTATCGACTTGCATGTGGCCGAAGTTTATATCCTTTCCCTGTCTTGTTATTATAATGTATTCTGTCTTATCTTGATTGATAACATTTTCTGAGCTGATTCTTTTAAGACAGTGTTTTAATAATCTTTGTGGTTCTTTCTTTACGGCTGCCCTGGTTAAAAACAGGCAGTCATGTTTGATCGTTGTTGAAATTGTACTTCAGTTATAAAGGATTTACTTATTTGCTTCATTTATGTAATTGTTACTGTAGTAAGCACCTGACGAGATACAGCGAAATATGCCAGGCAATAAATTGTGCAATCTATTGTTTGTGTCTTCTCTGTTCAAGTCTCTAGTTCATTTGCTTACACTGCTAGACATATTTTCATATGCCAGTTTTCACTCCATCAGTGACTTGGTCAACATCACGCCTGTGGCTTTTACTGCCCAGAATTTTACTGGTAACCATTTTTAGTTTTAGGATGGGTGGACTTGGCAGAATAGGTCAATTTTGGAAGCATAAAAATCCGCCTTGATGCAGTTGTACCTTTTTGTGTGTTTGGCTGGTTTGGTTTGAACAGCGGATCGACAGCCTGGCACAAGGGTAGTAATCCATAAGAGCTCCCTTCTACTTTTAACTCAACGCTGAGTCCGTAGGCTCAGTGCAGTGCACGAACTCCGTGGCACGGGCGAGGATCCTGAAATACTTTGTGTAGATTTTTAACTCCAAATTTTGCCTGGGCAGCGCCGTTAAGCTACTCTTTCCGATTTCTAACTGCTAAGGGGTTTGTTACGTATGCAAGAAACAATACACACCAGCTTCACAGAGACCAGGGGAAAATTATTAAGTCCACGTGGAAAAAAATCCGCTCGAGACAAACGCCATACCTTGAGACCACTCAGCCTATTTCCCCTCCCCCGTACCTTCTCTTATGTGTTCTCCAAGTATAAAGTCGACTGACTTTCTACCCCACCAGGACATCACACAAGCGATAAACACCCGATGACACAATGTGCCACCATGTGGGTGAGGATCACCGTGGAGAGAGAGGTCCCAGAAACCGCGTTCAGACAATTGGCCATATTTATGGCCT